GCGAGAAATAGTGGTGGTGGTGGCTTACGCTCCCACCGAAGATAAATAATAGTGGAGAGATGCAGACAAAGCTGATGAGTCTAGTATAGTGCAGTCTTTGCTCGGCTGTTCGGCGCCCATTTCCACCCTGGCAATCCCTTGTCGGTGGGTTGAGTTGGTCTTGAGGGGCAGTGCGGAGAAAGGACTCCTTGCAGGTAGAAGAGTCCCTGGTCTTGTAGGGCTTTATAGGTTAGAGGATTGATTTTGAATGTACCCTCGCACGAGCAGTTAATGCGGTCCGTGAACAGAGGCGTTATAATTATGACCGGTCCTCGACATACCAGTCAATAGCCTGCCAGCCGTATTCGACACCAGCTGCAGGCGATTGACATCAACCCCCGGTAGCCCATCAGTGAATATAATAACTATATCGTAAGCAAATATGAGGTGGTTAATATTATCGCCATTTATGTTCATACCTTTTTACCTGTGGTCTAGTTTTTAGAAATCCAATGTCGCAGTGCATTCAAAGTCTAACGTTGCTCTGAACGACGAGTGAAAGCGTGGGCAACTTGACCGACTTTCCTATTCAGCACAGTTTGGTATTTTCTTCATGTAACCGGTGGAGCTGTAACATTTTTTCATAGTTTTAATTTCAGTTTTACAGTACGTCGCATTACATCACATATTCATCCTAACCAAACAACTGCCTACATCCAGTGCAGCAGGTGTGCATGATGATGTAACTATCACTTCTGCAGATGCTCACGGATCTGACCTTTTGAAAAAATGCACCTAAACCTCAGTTCCCAGGTGGTCGAATATGTGACGCTATGATGTAATTTTTACTATTCATGTTCTTGTGAACAACCAAACAAATGATCAAGGTTTAGAGATTTTCCACGTACATTATTTTATAAATAAAATATTTCGATAAATATTTTTCTGGATGTGTAAGGAAGGCTTTACTCTGCACCCTGCCGTGGGAATTTGGTCTCGGATTTTTTAAATTTATAATCCATAAATATGAGAATTATCTATAATTATTATGTTTACATCGCCATCAATTCTATAATAGGTTGAAAAGATACCTTACCTTGCTCCTTAAACAAATTATATAAACTTCCATAGACTAGGTAAAGAACACGTTAACTAAACCAAATGCTATTTTGAGATAAGAACACACAACTACGCTATGAATCCAGAATCCTGAGTTGGATTCCTGGCAGTGACTAATGTCATTGGCGAGTGATACTGACACTGGTTCTGGGGTGGCTGCTCCACCAACGAGCACGATTAAACAATCTCCATGACTGATGCGGCGTGGGATTGTCTTCATTCAGCAGCGGATTGATAAGGAGCTGTAAACTATTGTGCTTTACTCCAGGAGTACAATTGTAGAATATGTATGGCATCCTTTTTTCAGTATTAGTTTCAAGGATTGTGGCCAATCAGTTTCAAGGACAATGCACACATTATCAAAACATGTTTGTTTTCATGTTTCACCATGAACATATGTGATTAATGCAGACTTGATGCCTTGTAATGGGTGTCTATTTAGTGTATGAACGCCTCCTGTATTCTTGCTGGACTGGGTAAAGCCTCTTACTTTTTCATCAAGTGTAGAATAGTTGATTAGAGTACTTGGCAATGATGTACAGCTGTGGATTGAATGAACTGCGATGTCTCTATAACAAATTGTGCAACCGAGCGCTGCATTCTGCTACAGGGCATTCAAGATTCCACTAGTATGTGGCTTGGCCAATGGCAATTTCATTAAATGAAACTGACAGCCGTAAGTAATGCTTGCACGTTCCTGACATCTACAATCTTATTGCCGTCGTTGATAACTTGTGTTTATTTCTTGATTTGAAGCTTTGTTTCTTATTAACAACTTTATAACTTGTGCTTCTCATTAATGATAAGAAATTATCACTAATAAACATTACATGCACTTATTTAATTGGAAATAAAACAAAGTCAACGATGTTCACCAGACGAATACAATATTCATGCACATATTGTTATTTTTTAAACGTAAACACGGAGGGGTGAAGAGGGAAATTTCCCCCTACCCCCCTATGAGGTCCCAAAAAATTGGTATCTTATTTATATATACCATAAGAATATGTGTTTTTACATATATATTTAGATAAACGTAGGGATATATTTAAGAAGCTGGACATTTCAGGACCCCCCCCCACTTGGGACGTTTCTAGAGCTGGCTGTGCGCCACTGTAATAATAAAGCTTCAGCCGCAAATAACGCAGTGAATAACACAGTTGATTACTTTTTTAATTATTGAATTCGCAAGGGAGCCATTACCACAAGAGCGCACTCAGCAATGCTGAGACGTGGGTTTCAGGCACCTGTGGCTGCCTTTGCATTGGGTTGGGGTTATCTCACTGGTCTCGATTGGCTGAAGAAAAACAACAATAATTCTAAGTTAAATTTGACACCTTTATGATGTATGGAAGTTGAACTTTTTTCGCACCGTACGTTGACAACCATGTTGATTGGAGGTGCGGGGAAGGGACAACGTAAATACATACTACACTACATACTACACTACATACTATACTACATACTACAATACTTACTAGTGTCCTTAATGCTCGTGATGTCACTCCTCATCGACCAGCCCCTCTCATTAATAATCATTAACAGGTGATGTTCTCCAAATGGACACCCTCCCCCCCATTCATAATAATTAGTGGGTGACGTCACTCCACATGGGGGGCCGAGGCGCCTCCTCCCCCCTCCTCAGCGTCAACTTACAACCCTCACTACAAAGGCAGAAACCTCACGTCACGCGATCTCCGTAACGCTGTTGTTGAGACATCAAAGTAAAAAAAGGACGTCATGATGAACAAGGGATTATAACCTTAAAATGAAATAAGTCTGTGTCACCGCGCCCCTTACAAATTGCACACGCATTAATCCAATTAATATCACGTCGCGGTCTGCTTTCCGCTTGCAAGTTTCAGATTTACTGCAATACACCCGTCCTTGGACGGGCAAAAGGCGAGTTATCTATATTGATTCAACCACGGCGGGGGGGGGGGGGTACAACTTCCACGCCAGGTGAGTGGTGCATAGCGGGATAGGCGGCTCGGACAGAAAACCAACGTAGACGTGTAGGACCGTAGCGTTGTGTGGTATAAAAAGCAGTTTTAAAGAAATTAGTTTAAAATCTAGATTTTTAAGTGCATAGCTCCAGTGGCTTCCTCTTATCAGAAGGAAGAGCATTCCAGACAGCTGCAGAAGCGCATCTGAAAGCGCGCAATGCAGTGACAGGTCACACAGTCTAATTTCCTTGATCTTGTCCCGAAAATGCTTGACGTAGTTTCAAGGGAATCTTCATATCTAATTGCTAATGATGGTTGTGATCATTGTTCTACAACTGACCGTTGAGCTGAAACAATAATAATTTTAATTGCCACTTTGTTAAAACCCTTGTACACGTGATGGTGTAATTTGTTTGGCTATGTCGGGTGGTGGAGGGTATTAACAACAAAAATTTGGCCAGATCTAGGTGGCCTAACCCAAATATCAATTTAGAATGATAATATTGGCTCTGAAAATCTACGTGTTAAGAAAAACATAATTATGAAAAAAAAACTTTAATTTGCCATATGCCAGCTCACTGAGGAACTGAAGGAACGTATGGTACTGAGATATACGATTACATGCAATCATCACGACCAAAGTAGTTCACAATTGTCACTGATGTGCTTGGCTACGAAACGAATCGAGGTGATTGGAATTCGCTGGCAGCCCTGGGACAGGACACTGCGACTACAACCCGCTACCCCACCACTGAAGTGTGCACGTACAAAAATACAAAGATCCCTCCTGTAGCCTGAACAGACTGTTGGGACAAGTGCTGTTAGCGAGCACCTATGAAGACCGGCACGGGAATGTTTACACATAGCAGCAGGCACTCACTTGAGGTTGAGTCGACCTCAGTGCCGGATGAAGCTCGTGCAGGGCCTGTAGCATATGTTATAAAGGAGCCCTAAATGAAAAATAAAAAAACTGAAATATTAAAACACATTTTTTTCACTTGCATAGTAAAGTAATTGTATTTTTTCATTTTCTATATCGCTAACCTTAAACACCCAGTCGTTCATAAAAGTTGAAGGCAGTATAGTACTATAGTAATAGAGCAAGTACAGAATCACTGAACCGGAATTGATAGCTTGAACGCATTTGGCGCAGGGCCGTTGAAAGTGTGGGGCCCGCAGCATGTGTAGCTACTACATGTGTAGCTACTACATGTGTAGCTACTACATGTGTAGCTACTACATGTGTAGCTACTACATGTGTAGCTACTACATGTGTAGCTACTACATGTGTAGCTACTACATGTGTAGCTACTACATGTGTAGCTACTACATGTGTAGCTACTACATGTGTAGCTACTACATGTGTAGCTACTACATGTGTAGCTACTACATGTGTAGCTACTACATGTGTAGCTACTACATGTGTAGCTACTTTTGCTACGAAAATAATCCGGCACTGGTTGGCATAGGGTAGGCCAGGACCGTTTCCGGATCATCTTCGCTGTTGTCGGCCGTGAGCGAGGAAACGAACTCGGTCGCTGGGGTTTTAGTGCAGCACGCTAACCGCTCTACTACCGCTCCCACGTACACATCCACAGCCACACACACGGAGCTCTCGCTTCAGGGGATCTCAGCGCCTGGGACTCGACGTGCGTGTTGCTGTGTTCGCACAATGAGAGACGTGCAAATGCAACCCCGGGTAGTTACTACGACGCTTCATTGTGGAGCGGCGGTGCAGTTGTTTGCTCTGCACTCGGAACCACGCTATGCATCCCCTACGGGCCACGGCTGACATCAGAAGCGCGCGATCTGAAGCGGTCCCGAGGCCCCCTAACCCCTTCACAAATCGAAATTGTCCACCGTGGTGAAGTATGGTAAAACAAAGGTGTGGTTGTAAATTATGTATTATGCTTACAATGCTTCCTTGCTATTACTCTTTTTTTACGAACAGCTTAACCCCTCCCTTATACCCACTCCGAGCCTCCTATCACCCGCGGCTTGTGTTCTTGTTTTCTTATTGGATCATCGATCAATCAACCTGTCTGCCATTGAAAGAGCCCTCCCACAATGTTCAACCTTAAAAGGTGCCAACCCTGACGAGAAATTTCAGGCACAGCCGTAGACAAACCTGCGCGTGTCTCACTTGCAAAATTTGCCGCTTGCGTGTTCAAATCGTTACGTCTGCGACTTACTAAAAGACTGCACCGCGGATCTCTCCCCGCGCATCGGACACTCGGTTAATATTATAGGTCAAAATCGATTCGCTAAAAACATACCCTTGCAAATTGTAGCTTAACCGTAATCACCACAAAGCAGATCTTATTAGGATGGCGTACTACAGCTCCAGTTCACGCTCAGTCAGCGGAGGAGGTGGAGGGGGAATTTTCCTGGGTCGCAGCGGAGCGGCCAGCGTCTATGGTGGCAGTAGCTGCCGGGTTTCTTCGGCCAGCTTTGGTCGGAGCAACTCCGCGGGATGCGGTGGAGGCGCGTGGGGGAGCTCACAGTTCAAGATGATCGTGGGGGGACAAAGCGGTGCGAGTGAAAAGGTGGAGATGCAAGGCCTGAACGAGCGTCTTGCCGAATACCTGGACAAAGTTAAATTCCTGGAATCGGCAAACCAGGCCATAGAGCTCAAAATCAAAGAGATGCTGCAAGGCAAAGGGTCCATCGCAAAGGACTACAGTGTTTACTATTCCACTATCGAGGACCTGCGGGAAAAGGTTAGAGATTTCCTCCTGTGTTGTCTCGCTCACCCTGTGCTCATTGACAATGTCTGTCGACATTGTTGGCTGTCAATTATCGGCGAAACGACGCACTCGAATTGTAAATGTTGTGGGTTTACTCTCCAACACACCAGTGTGCTGAACGAGTAACGATTTGGCATCTTTTGTTCACACAAACCTTACCACTTGGCTCTGTCGGGTGGTGGTAGGTTTAACGACACGTTTATATTCATGCGATCTAACTAAAAAAAAACACTATTATAGATGTCTGTCGAGCTGGCTCGTTAAAATGTTGCCGCGTGTTTTCCTTTCTGTCCCGCCATCCCTTTACAGATCTTTGTCCAAATATTGGAGAATGCAAAAATCAGCCTGGAGATAGACAACGCAAGATTGGCCGCAGATGACTTCCGCAGCAAGTGAGTGGAGAGCATGTGCGGTCTTGCCGGGCACAACGGGAGGTCAGGAGATCACCTAGGAGGGGGTGCATCGCCTCAGAACCAATAGTATAGCATCCACATCACTGCGCCAAACATCACAGTTTTAATCAATGTTAAATGATAATGGGCAAATTGATGATCGTTTTCAGAACCGGTATTCATTTCCAGTTGAATTTTAGTAGGAAGAGGTGGGCGTACCCACACTTTACCCCACCACACACGACCTACTTGCTGGCTCGACTGTGCTGTGCATTGCTGGCTTGGATGTCGGCAGAGAGGATGGTGGGGGTGGGCAGCGCTTTTGACGAACCTGCACCATTGATTTAACTACCGCGTCAGGAATGGATTCGAACTGGCGACCTGTGAGTAGCGAGTTCGAACTCCCATAATTTCACAGATATGTTTGCCTATGTGTCAAACCGATAACAGGTTTTGGTGTATGTACCGTATTTTTGACGCGGTTACCGGTAATGCATAAACAGCCAACTTGAACCACCGTCGCGGTGTGTAAAGGGGAACTCTTGTGTGCTGCCGGCCATGCGTGCTTCTCAGGTGGGAGACGGAGGCGGCACTGCGCATGTCGGTGGAGGCGGACATCGGGAACCTGAGGGGCCTCCTGGACGAGTACGGGATGGCGTGCATGGGCCTGGAGGGCGACATCGAGGCCATGAGAGAGGAGCTGATCTTCATGAAAAAGAACCATGAAGACGTGAGTTGCTTTTTTAGCTCGTGCAAAGGTGTGATGTTGCTGTGTGTTTGGGATTGTGCTTTGGGCTGTCACTGAGTGGACTAATGGATATTTGCAGGTGGTGAGGAGCTAAGAGCAGAACCAGGGGTCGGCAACCTTTCAAAGTAGAAGAGCCATTTGTTTTTTCTTTGAGAGCTACTTGCACACGTACACAAACACAGCAGCAGGCATACAGCAGATGACAAATACATTCTGACTTAAATAAACAAAATAGGTGATGGAATGAACTGCATCTATTTAGTTTTCCCCCCTTACTTATTCTTTCACAATTTGACTGTTGTACATATTGTTGTCACCAAGACATTCCACAGTGACCCATTCCCTGCCGTATTTAATAAATTATCTTTACGTTAAATTGTGTTTTAAGAATTCCATTTCTTTAAACGGCTGCCCGCAAGGAGGCAACCAAAGCGCCGCAAGGGGTAAACCAAAGAGCTGCATGCGGCTGACCCCTGATCCAGACGTTTTTACCATACGTGCTGTTCTATACCTACGTTGTGATCATTCGTTTGCTGTTTATACCTTTTGTTTTATACAATTTTTTTTGTTTATTCATTTTATATGTTGTGAGTATTTTATTTACTTCATTATATTGCTATAAATAGAATTTACCACATAAATGTGATGATGCATGCAATATTCTTTGGATCTTTCGATAAAGTCACGTAGATAGGTGGAAAGAAAATATTTAAAAAAACTACGTTTCAATCACAACACAAGCGATCCTCATCAACCTATCTATTATGACTTTACCGAAAGACCCAAAGAATATGAATTCCTGCAGTCACGAAATCTTTAAGTCAAGATGCATGTAATTATTGTACAGCGTTGTGAGATGCAATTAGCATGCTTGACACGTTATTTATTTCAAAATCTTTATGCGGTTAAAATACAACAGTCGACTCAGTCTATTGCTGACTACGTCAAGTGTCGCACCGTGTATGTCCGAGGGTTGGCTCAGTCCCCCACGCGTGCGTGCGATCGATTGCATGCGGATGGGGGCCGTGATGGTCTCTCGCTCGTGCCGTGCAGGAGCTGGCCGCTCTCAGGGCCCAGCTGTCCGGCGCCAACATGTCGGTGGAGGTTGACAGCACCAGGGGCCAGGACCTCCACAAGATCTTGGACGACATGCGTGCGCAGTATGAGGGCATAATCGCCGTGAACCGCGCCAACGCAGAGATGGCCTTCAACAAACAGGTGCTGGATCACACGCACAAGACAAAGACTTCCCATATAGCCTGTAACAGAGTGTTGGCGCAAGTGCCGTTAGCGAGTAGCACCTAATGAAGGTCGGCACGACACACGAAGGGGTGGGTGGCCAGCACCATGCCCGGCCGCCTTTGTTTCCCCAGTGGCGGTGTTTACACACCACTCCAGGTACTTATTTGAGGCTGAGTCGACCTAGGGGAGGCCCAGGAACGATTCAGATAATCCTCACCAGTGTTGGCCGTGAGCGAGAATCGAACTCGGGTCGCCTGGTTCGTAGTGCAGCACGCTAACCAGTACCGTTCTTCGCATTGCACGCACACACAACTGTGCGACTCCACGCAGTCATCGTGTTGGGTGCAGCGGTGTTCACCATAAAAGACTTACGCCCTCTCAACTTCACAGGCTTCCAAGGTAGATGGAGTTGTGAACGCTTTTGACCATCTGGCCGTTCATGGCGAGGTTGTGGCGCTGCTCAGCGAGCACCCATTTTCTGAATCTTCGTCTTGGCCCACGAGATGTGGAGCTCAACTTCGACCATTTTCCCTCAAATACAATTACCATGCGAGATCGTTATTCGGCAATATCATCCGCGTCAGTGAGCCTCTCATTGGCGTGTGTGAAATTGGCGATTATGTAGGGCACGCTTAATGATACGATGTCGGATGCCAGACCTGGTGCCAAAGGTGGCAGACAGGTTGCACGTAGATAACAATTGTATTTATAATCTAGGGATGCCGAATTAAAGTTGCTAAACCCATTGACATAGGGGGAAACAATGATGAGACTGTTAATTGAACTAGGAATGTGAATTATGACGACTGAATTTCTATTTAAAGCTTTCGTGACTGCAGGGATTCATATTCTTGGTTCTTTCGGTAAAGTCACGTAGAAGGGAAATAATAAAATAAAAAAGAATTTAAGAATATGACGATTGAGTTGATACGAAAGATGCGTTTGTGTTCAGGCGGAAATTGCCATGGTGCAAGGTGCACAGCAGAGTCAAGCTGCATCGGCGGCCCAGAGCGAGGTGTCGGAGACGCGGCACGCCATGCAGAGCCTCGCGGCCGAACTCGAGTCACTGCGAGCCCTCGTGAGAATCACTGTGCCCTGTACACGGTTACCCCACACATACACCACGGTTACCCCACACATACACCACAGTTACCCCACACATACACCAGTTACCCCACACATACACCACAGCTACCCCACACATACACCACAGTTACCCCACACATACACCAGTTACCCCACACATACACCAGTTACCCCACACATACACCACAGCTACCCCACACATACACCACAGTTACCCCACACATACACCAGTTACCCCACACATACACCACAGCTACCCCACACATACACCACAGCTACCCCACACATACACCACAGCTACCCCACACATACACCACAGCTACCCCACACATACACCACAGCTACCCCACACATACACCACAGCTACCCCACACATACACCACAGTTACCCCACACATACACCACAGCTACCCCACACATACACCAGTTACCCCACACATACACCACAGCTACCCCACACATACACCACAGCTACCCCACACATACACCACAGTTACCCCACACATACACCATAGTTACCCCACACATACACCAGTTACCCCACACATACACCACAGTTACCCCACACATACACCACAGTTACCCCACACATACACCACAGTTACCCCACACATACACCAGTTACCCCACACATACACAAGTTACCCCACACATACACCACAGTTACCCCACACATACACCACAGTTACCCCACACATACACCAGTTACCCCACACATACACCAGTTACCCCACACATACACCACAGCTACCCCACACATACACCACAGTTACCCCACACATACACCACAGTTACCCCACACATACACCAGTTACCCCACACATACACCACAGTTACCCCACACATACACCACAGTTACCCCACAAATACACCACGGTTACTTCACACATACACCACGGTTACCCCACACATACACCAGTTACCCCACACATACACCACAGTTACCCCACACATACACCACAGTTACCCCACACATACACCAGTTACCCCACACATACACCAGTTACCCCACACATACACCACAGTTACCCCACACATACACCAGTTACCCCACACATACACCAGTTACCCCACACATACACCACGGTTACCCCACACATACACCAGTTACCCCACACATACACCAGTTACCCCACACATACACCACGGTTACCCCACACATACACCAGTTACCCCACACATACACCACAGTTACTTCACACACACGTCACAGCTGCACTGTGCTGCAGGCAGTGCAAATGCACGGGGGGCCTATGGGCCTGAAGGTCCAGATGTCGGGCTATGGAGAGAGGGGACAGTGAGCAAGGAAATGCATTCCTTGCTCCAGGACCCACAACTGTGCACACCTCTTCTGGGTTTAAACAAAATATTTGATCTTGATTTGAAATATTTGAGTTTTAATTATGTAATGGCACTCACTGTCCCGTTCATCCATTTTGTTACAAAACTTCAAAACACCACAGTTACCCCACACATACACCATAGTTACCCCACACATACACCAGTTACCCCACACATACACCACAGTTACCCCACACATACACCACAGTTACCCCACACATACACCACAGTTACCCCACACATACACCAGTTACCCCACACATACACAAGTTACCCCACACATACACCACAGTTACCCCACACATACACCACAGTTACCCCACACATACACCAGTTACCCCACACATACACCAGTTACCCCACACATACACCACAGCTACCCCACACATACACCACAGTTACCCCACACATACACCACAGTTACCCCACACATACACCAGTTACCCCACACATACACCACAGTTACCCCACACATACACCACAGTTACCCCACAAATACACCACGGTTACTTCACACATACACCACGGTTACCCCACACATACACCAGTTACCCCACACATACACCACAGTTACCCCACACATACACCACAGTTACCCCACACATACACCAGTTACCCCACACATACACCAGTTACCCCACACATACACCACAGTTACCCCACACATACACCAGTTACCCCACACATACACCAGTTACCCCACACATACACCACGGTTACCCCACACATACACCAGTTACCCCACACATACACCAGTTACCCCACACATACACCACGGTTACCCCACACATACACCAGTTACCCCACACATACACCACAGTTACTTCACACACACGTCACAGCTGCACTGTGCTGCAGGCAGTGCAAATGCACGGGGGGCCTATGGGCCTGAAGGTCCAGATGTCGGGCTATGGAGAGAGGGGACAGTGAGCAAGGAAATGCATTCCTTGCTCCAGGACCCACAACTGTGCACACCTCTTCTGGGTTTAAACAAAATATTTGATCTTGATTTGAAATATTTGAGTTTTAATTATGTAATGGCACTCACTGTCCCGTTCATCCATTTTGTTACAAAACTTCAAATAAATGATCTCCTCATCCACATCTCTCTTTCTCCGTTCCACGACAACCAGATTCGCTCTCTGGAAGATCAGCTGTACGATACGGAGGACCGCAAAGCCCGCGAGCTGGCATCCTACACCGTGCATATCCAGATGCTGGAGGGAGAGCTGGGTTCGGTGCGAATGGGCATCAACCAACAGCTGAAGGACTACGCAGAGCTGCTCAACATGAAGATGAAGCTTGAGCAGGAGATTAGCACCTACAGGAGGCTTCTGGAGGGAGAAGACAGCCGGTACATGTTCTAGCTCTAGTCACATAATCATTGTAATAATAATGATTATTATCATTGAGTACAGATGGTATTTGTGCCATTCTCATTACACAAGGCTAACGTGAATGCGCTATGTTTCACTGACACAGTCTGGAGTAGTTTCACATTTGGGGGAGGTGATTGCAATGTGTAATCCCAATTCAGTAATTTGCAGGTATTTTTTTTTATTGCCAAATTTGGACCACGACACTGGCACCCAAGGATGACATCAGGGGATCTTTAACATCCTCTGTGAAGCAGACGGTGGTGGGTATTTTGTGGGGTTAACGCACCCAATAGTATGAACCAGGGCAGCATGCCGTATTCGAACCACGAACCTCTGGAAAAAGAGGCGAATGCACTACCGCTGGTATCACGTCACTGCCCGCAAATGCAGACATGAGTGCACTGGCTCTCGTCACATAATAGCAGGTGGAGATGCTTGTCCATGACTCACAACATGTTGCACTGTGAGGTTAACCTCGTGCTAAATGTTCCCAGACTTGTCACCATTTGTCCATACTCAGCTCACGCCCAGTCTCGGGAAGGCGTCTGCACTAACAATCTCTACTCCTAACGCTGACCACAAACAGTTACATTAAATGAGAGCAAGAATGGCTATTGCAAGGTGAGGTCATGTCAACTAATCAGGTGTGATGACACCACCATTGCTTCCTTCTGTGAGACCCTACAGCTATGTTTGATCTATAGCATGAATCCAATAATTTGCACTGATATCAGGGGATCATATTGTGGACTCTGTAATGCATGGTGCACTGCGGAGATTAGACTTATAATTCTGGATTTTCTTTTTGCACTGATGTCGTGTGTCGTGTATTACAGGAGGAATGAGTCCGCAAAATATTTGAGGATTTTAGGGGAAGCGTGGCACATGACAAACAGCTATATTACTCCACAATAAATGCACGGATTTTTAGCTCATGATTTTAATATAACACCCAAATAGTGAAAATCTGCCATATGGGCATTTATTAATGGGCGATTTGAGTGAATGTGAGAGGGGTGCAATGGGGGCTAGATGTCAACTCCCTCGCCTGGCATACAGGACCTCATGGGTTTGATCCCGACCCTGACGCCTGTATACTTGGAGTTTGCATGTTCTCCCCATGGTTGCGTAGATTTTTCTCCATGGTCCTCTGGTTTTTCTCTCCACATTTAGAACATGCGTTTAAGTATTTGGCTGCTATAAATGTCCACATGGTAAGCCACTTCGTTGAGCTATTATTTGTAGCCAGGTAGCTTCTGAAAAAGAGCTATATCGCTCAGAGGACCTTACCTGGGAAAATAAAAAATAGTTTAAATAGTTTCTAGAATGCTCATGACATATTTTAATCATGCATCCTCCCTCACCTGTGATCTCCCCAACACCCCGATCCCCGCAGGCTGAGGAATATCTCCTCGGAATCTTCGCACTCGATGCAGTCGTGTTTCAGCTTTGGCGCTGGTTCCAAAGGAGGTAGTATGTGTTCTGAACATTTACCTGCATGGTCGTACAATCACACGTGCTTGCATTCATCAAGTTTAGAGACTTCAGTAAGGCAAATAAAATCTATTGAGTGTAAATGTGCATGCTCACTCATGAAAATATTCCCATACTGTAGAGCTAAACACACCCAGATCCCCATGTATGTAGTACACACACCGTTACACAACATGGATTGCTGCTACTCATCTTCTCTCGTATGGCACTTGAAAAGCATCTGCCAAAAATATTAGAACTGTATGACGAGTCTGGTAACCCATCTGATGGCAACAGGAGTTGCTTGACGCACAAGAGTAACCGTCCCTCCTGTGTGTGAGCATGCAATGCTTTCAATGGTCGGTTAAGCGATGAACAGACTGCACCTCAGCACGTTCACAAGAGGGAGACTTCGTGAACATTGGACTGCTGCTCGTGATGCCAAATGTGAATCATGTGGCTGCATTCTCAGTAAAAGAGCCCCACGCTGACAATTAATTGCCTTAAAATGCACGGCAAAATTTTTTAAAGAACAATAGACTATAAATGTATATATCAGCGTACATAATGATGCACAATAATAGGCATGGTGCAAAACAAATACTTTAAAACAGATGAAGCAAGTAATAAAATATAATTCACACGAGTGTAAATTCTATATCATAGAAATATGATTTAAGACTTATTTAAAAACAGCCAGAAGGACCCCTCCCCTTACAGATCGCTCGTTCCACAGTGTAGAGACCGACGCTCGTTCCACAGTGTAGAGACCGACGCTCTGAAGGTGAATGTGCTGCCACATGCATATCCTCTCTGAATCTGATGACATTCTCGGTCACAGAGAGCAGCTCCAGCTACCAAAGTTCAAGTACCACCGGGTCCGGCTCTGGCTCTGGGGCTGCTTCATCTTCCGTTTCCTCTGCCACAAAGAGCACAGGAGGAGCCAGCACTGCTGTGACGTCCAGCACCACCAGTGAGTCGCAGGGCTACCCTGCATCTCTCCTCTTACCTGGTTTGATATCATAGCTCACTTTAACACGTAGGCTTTCGCGACCAATATCATCCATAATAGAGGTATTTTTTGGGTGATCGCGTAAATATATAAATGTGTCGTTACACCCGCCACCACCCGACACAGCCAACTAGTAAGGGTTGTCACGTAAACAGAACGTGCCAATTCGTCACTAGTACAGCACGCCGGTGTGTTGGAGAGCCAAGCCACAACATTTACAATCTGAGTACGGCATAGATGTGGTAACCACATCTATGACAGAAAGGACAAGATCAAAGGACTCCCATAATGCACATGCATAATGTTGACTGATTAATCCCCCCATTGCGCAAGAGCGCAGAAGTGTGGTGACCACATCGACGCCTCTATATAAGGAACGAAACAGATGGACTTCTCCACAAATGTGGCTGTCGCCTGATGAAGCTAGTTGTAATTACTGGTGAAACTTCGTACTCAGATTATAAATGTTGTGGCTTGGCTCTCCAACACACCAGTGTGCTGTACTAGTGACGGATTGGCATGTTCTGTTTACGTGAAAACCCTTACTAGTTGGCTGTGTCTTGGGGTGGTGAGTTTTAACAACACATTTATATATGTTTACGCAATCTAACCCAAAAAAAACGTCTTATGGATCATAGCTCATACTTAGCGAAGTGTAAAGTTTCTACCAACAAAATCCGACTACCTTCAATGGGACCTCATCATCAACATCATCTTTCTGCATCAGCATTGTCATCGTTTCAGTCATCTTCTGAATCTTTATCGTCTTCCTAATTTTCATCTTGATAATGTTTGTGTTCTCGGTATGCATGCATCGATTTAGCGACATGAGATCCCATTCTGGGAGGTAAAAGCTGCTCCAAATATGTTGCTATCTGTTAGAACCTTGCAGAATCTTCTTCTTCCACGTGTTTGTCCCACTCATGTGGGGTCCGCTGTCATTGCCAACCTTCTCCACACTGCCCTGTCCTCCGCCATCTCCCTTTCAGCTCCTCAGGCCACCATGTCCGTTGGCACCACATCGCCCCACCTCTTTTTCTGCCTTCCTCTTGATCTCTTTCCTTCCACTCGCATAACTTGCACCTTTTGACCCACATAATTTTCCTACTGCCTCTCCACATGACCGAATCACACCAGCCTTTTCTCTCTCATCTTCTCTGTGATTTATACCACCTTGAGTCTTCCTCTCACTCCTTCATTTCTCACCCTGTCCTTCCTTGTTAAGAACGTTACAGAATGGTGGTGACATATTGCTACTCAAATAGGCCACTGGCGGATCGAGGGTGGCGGTGCGGATTGGGCGATGGGGAATCGCTCTTTCCTTGAGATCCAGAATAATGTTCGGCCATAATTAAAACGCTTCACATTCGTGACCTCCTCCCTGCCCTTGGGAGGTTTCCAGATCCGTCTCTAGAGTCATCTTCTTTCGTATGGCAGTTGAAAAGCATCTGGCAAAAATATTACAACTGTATGCCGAGTCTGATCATCCATCTGGTGGCATCAGGAGTTGCTTGACGCATAAGAGTAACCGTCCCTCCTCTGTGCAAGCGCACAATACGTGCAATGGTTGGTTATATGATGAACAGACTGCACCTCACCACGTTCACAAGAGGGCGACTCAGTGAACATTGGACTGCTGCTCGTGATGCCAACTGCCAATCATGCGATAGCATTCTTAGTAACAGAGCCCCATGCCGACATTGATGCTGAACCAACATTCAATCACCTCAAAGTACATATCAAAAAATTATGAATAAAATAAAAAGAATAACAGACAATAAATAGATATATCAGCATACATAATGATGCACAATAATGGGAATGCAGATGAAGCAAGTAATAAAATATAATTTACACAACTGTAAATTTTATATGATAGAAATATTATTTCAAATGTATCTTAAAAACAGCCAGAGTGGAGCCTCCCTTACAGATCGGGGCAGCTCATTTAATAGTTTAGAGACCAATGCTCTAAGGTGAATGCGCTGCCACATATCCTCTCTGAATGCGATGACATTCTCGGTAACAGAGAACTCCAGCTACCAAAGTTCAAGTACCACCGGGTCCGGCTCTGGCTCTGGGGCTGCTTCATCTTCCATTTCCTCTGCCACAAAGAGCGCAGGAGGATCCAGCACCACAGGAGGAGCCAGCACTGCCATGACATCCAGCACCACCAGTGAGTCGTAGTGCTACCCTGCATCTCTCCTCTTGCCTAACTAGATATCATAGCTCACGTTTAGCGAAGCAGAAAGTTTCTGCCAACAACGTCTTCATAATATTCATGTTATCTGTATGCGTGCGTCAATTTAGCGACATCAGACCCCATTCTGGGAGGTAAAAGCTGCTACAAATCTGTTGGTATCCGTAAGAACTTTGCAGAATGGTGGCCACGTATTGCTATTCGAATAGCCCCGAGTTTGCACGAAAACGACCACCTATTTTTGGCAGAATGACGTCGAAATCCTCGACACAAATTGAGGTGGAAATATTTTACCATGCAGTTGGATATTCGGTTTTTTTCTTTTCTTTTCACGATCGTAGTTAACATCTAGCACAATTGATACATGTTCACTACATAGACTTTTTGTTCATGCTGTATACGGAACTATATATTTGTTGTATCTAAAATGTTCATATGCTTCACTTTTTTATTGTGGTGGTGACGATGATCTTTTAACAGAGACCACCAGCCAGACCAGTTCGCTTTCAAGTGACGGCGCCTTTGGTGCCGCTTCTAATTCCGTTGTCGTAGACAACGACGCGTCGAGCTCGAGCTCCAGCTCCACGACCATAACCAACTCCTCCACCACCAGTGAGTGAAACGGCTCAGCGTGCAGTTTGTTCTCATTCCTGTGCTGTTTCATGGAGTGTGGAGTAGAGTGCATGCTCAAGTCACATCTACAATCTCAGGACGGCAGGGTGGCAGCAGTGGTAGCACACGTGCCTGACAGCCATAAGCGTTTGGGTTCAATTCCCGACTCGGGTGCCTTTCTGTTGCAGGAGTTTGTATGTTCTCTCTCTCCCCCCATGTTCTCCATGGGTGTACTCCAGGTTCTCTGGTATTGACCAAACACCCCATTATTGAAAAATTGCATGCAAATTACTCACTTGGTATCACACACAGTAGCAACATCACCCCCTACTCAAAAAAACTTGGCGGGACCCTCCTGAAAAGAGTTGTAAAACGTTAGTAAACTTTCCTGGGTAAAAAAAAGCACAATGGTAAAAAGACAATCATAATAATGTAGCATAAATAGACAAACAATTCATAACAAGAGCACTGCGGATGAATTAACATGAATTTTAATGGCTGTCATTTTGAAGCAAAGCCTGATTGAATTTATATTGATCATCCACATGCACGACAAGTTTGGCATCATGGGTTTTTGTTATTAAACGAATTTCCTCAGACATGTTTTTCTTCACTTTGACGGAATGCACCTGATCTCGTCAGAGCTCAGAAGCTCAGCAGAGTCGAGCCTGGACAGTGCTTAAGCAGGAGCCTGGAACGCCGGTTTCGTTTGCCCAGATAGGCAACCCCCACCGTGCGTCAGAGGTGCTGCGTGGTCAGCAGAGGGCAGTGCAGCACAAAACGATGTTGTGCTGTACGTCTATGCTCCCTGCCTTCACCAACCCTCACTAACCAGTGCACTGAAGTATGTTCATGAACCCTCCCCGGACCCACACTGTGTGGGTAGAGCCTCATTCAGCAGTGGAGTGACGAAAGGGCTACACGTGTACAATGTACAAACAGCCGTCCCCTTCTCATTGGGGTTGTCTGCAATGTTTTACACAGTTGCTGAGCACAGGCCCGAATGTCCAAAATGTCAAAAGGCCAGCAGAAACAATACTCTCGAAGTTGTAATAGATAAGAGTTAAAACGTCTCTTGAAATGAGTGAAGTTGTTATCATAGTTTGGAAAAAGAGACGATGGGAGGGAATTCCAAAATGGAGCAGTGCGAGGAAAGACGCAGAACGAGAAGTGTTTTGACCTGCAGTGTGGTGAGTGGGTGGGTGAGTGAGTGGGTGGGTGAGTGGGTGAGTGGATGGGTGAATGGGTGAGTGGGTGGGTGGGTGGGTGAGTGGGTGGGTGGGTGAGTGGGTGAGTGGGTGGGTGAGTGAGTGGGTGAGTGAGTGGGTGGGTGAGTGGGTAATTGGGTGAGTGAGTGGGTGAGTGAGTGGGTGGGTGAGTGAGTGGGTGGGTGAGTGAGTGGGTGAGTGGGTGAGTGGGTGGGTGAGTGCGTGGGTGAGTGGGTGGGTGAGTGGGTGAGTGGGTGGGTGAGTGGGTGAGTGAGTGGGTGAGTGGGTGGGTGAGTGGGTGAGTGAGTGGGTGAGTGGGTGGGTGGGTGGGTGAGTGAGTGGGTGGGTGGGTGGGTGAGTGGGTGGGTGAATGGGTGAGTGGGTGGGTGAGTGGGTAATTGGGCGAGTGAGTGGGTAAGTGAGTAGCAGTAGTGTCGTGGTTAGCGCGCTGCACTATGAGCCCAGCGACCCGAGTTAGATTCCCCCTCACCGCCAACACTAACGGTTATTTGAACCAGTCCTGAGCCTCCCCTAAGTCAACTCAGTCTCAAATGAGTACCCTGGTTTGGTGTTTAAACATCGTCACTGGGGAGACAAAGGCGGTCGGGCGTGATGCTAGCTACCCACCCCCTCGTGTGCCGTGCCAGCCTTCATAGGTGCTTGTTAACAGTACTTGCCCCAACAGTCTGTTAAGGCTATATGGGGGGTCTTTGTGGGTGAGTTGGTGGGTAATTGAGTGTGTGAATGGGTCAGTGTCCCTCTCTATGCCTCCCTCGCCCTGCGCCCAGTCATACTTTCATTCCTTTTCGCTTCTTGCTCCCCTTTACTGAAACCAACTCCCACTGCAGTACACAGAGCAATCATCTTCACTGACCTGCTTCCGTTCCTTCCTTAAAACCCATCTCTTCTCCCTAGCCCATCCTGTTCCCTGCCCACGCACTCCCCAGCTACCACCGGGCCTACCCCTATCACTACCCTTACTCATACCATTACCTCTACAACTATCACTACCCCTACATCTATCACTACCCCTATTACGATCCCCACACATCACTACCCCAACCCCTGTCACTACTCCAACCACTATCATTACCCCTATTACTACCCCAATACCTATCACTACCCCAACCCCTATCACTTTCCCCAACACATATCACTACCCCTATCAACACCCCTACCCCAACCCCTCCTTAACCTCTCCTGCCTGTTCTCCTGTCACCATAACTGCACCACTTTCAATAACCCCACTCTTTATCTCAACCACTAACATCTTATGTAAAAAAGACTAAAATTGATGTAAAGCGCCTTCGAATAAGGCTTTTATGAATTTAGATAAGATGAGACGAACCAGTCAGTCTTGTAGACCGAGTCCTCAACACGAGTGGGGGAATCGGTGGCAATGCTGACATCTGTTTGTTTTGTTTTACAGAGGAAGTCGTGATTGAACCAGAACCCAAACGAGGTAACCCTGATGTTTCTCCCCGTTTCTGCACTCTGTACGATCTGTCTTTATTTGGAATTACAGATAAGATTTTCAGAAGGAAACATCTTTAACGGAATGAACATTGATATAATTGTCAAATTGCCTAATTGCAACTAATTAAGTTATCCCAAAAATTGTGACGTATTGTTATTGGTGTTAAAAAAACCCCATGACATTTACCTCCTGTAATGCTTCTGATAAATATTCATGGCAGGACATGTGAATAAGGCATAGTATCACATCAGGCATATACATGTAATTTCTAGACTTGAAAGAGCGAGTGTAGGAATAGGTGTGTCTTACAGGAGCGGTAGTGTAACAGTTAGCTCGCTGCGCCATTCCTGCTCACAGACAACACCAATGACGATTATTTATCCTGGCCTCCCCGAGGTCGACTCAGCCTCATATGAGTACCTGGTGCGGTGTGTATACATCATCACTGGGGAGACAAAGGTGGCCGGGCGTGGTGCTGACCACCCACCGCTCGCGTGAAGTGCTGGCCTTCATAGGTGCTCGCTAACAGCACTTGCCCCAACAGTCTGTTAAGGCTATACGGGGGGATATTTGTCTTAGGTTGTAACAGACATGGATGTTGATTCCCTAATTTGGAAGCACTTTTCTAGAGTTGGGTGTGAGCTCCATGTCGCATGGGCGGTAACACGGTCCAGAGTTAGCGAGTTGACTGCTTGTTGCAGAGGTTCGTGGTTCAAATTCGCACCAAAGCAGACGTTAAAGGCCCCTGGCATCATGCGAGAAGAGTAGGTCATTGCGTGCCAGCATCATGGTCCAAGTTTTAGAAATTTTTAAAATGACCCGCAAATTACTCTATTGGGAGCACAAAGAGCAGCAATCAACACTCCCTACTGGCCGGCTAATTCCCACTGGCAGGCCAGGTGCTGAGTCATCTTGTGCAACAGAGTGACACCTGCCACCCTTTCACATCTTTGAATTGAGATGTGAACAAGCCGCTTATTGCATGTCAAGTGCTCTGATATACCCCAGGATAAAGGAGGGGCTCTATCAAAAACAAATGATTGTATATTGTTAATGTTTGTAGAGTTTACAATTGTGATATCTTAACTGTTCCAGAGGAAGTCAAGACGACGAAAACCGTAATCATCACTCAGACCATCGTGGATGGGCAAGTGGTGGAGTCAACGGAGGAAGTGGCTGAGAAAACCTTGCCCAACTAACCGATGCTTAACATGGCACTTAGATACTTCACAAAACGTAATTCCCCAAAACTTTCCAGACCAGCTTACATGTCTCAATACCAAGCGGCATTAATTTTATCAGCTAACACGTTGTGAAAATGTTCATTGGATTTGAAAATGTAAATCCAAACACACCTGTTTACATACAGTACTGTATATGTGTACGCATTGATGTGGGCATATATCTCAGCCATTTCCAGCAAATTAAATACCAAGGACAAGTGTTAACTTCTTAAAAGAGTTCACATAGCACATTGGGAAGCTTTATTGGATTGATGTGTTCAATGAAAGTTGAATGCGTATTGCGGTTTACAAATGGAGGCTCTATATCCCTCATGCTTTTGGCAAATAAATACACACGACACAAGTACACATAAACAAGTATACACAACACAACTACACAAAACACAACTACACACAACACAACTACACACAACACAAGTGCACATAACACAATTACACACAACACATGTACACACGACACAAGTACACACAACACAAGTACACACAACACAAATGTTACAATACATAAGGAGACATCGCTTGGTGGTTTTTTTCACAATGGGCACACGTGTATGGGAAGCAACAAACGATAGTTCATTTTCTGGGTATTTGGTACTGATCTACATGTTGTGCACTTCTGCTTGCTTTCCCTAATAAACATGTTGGTAATCGACATACGCTTGTTTTTGCGTCAATGTGGAGGGATCACAGTTTGATTAATTCTTGAATTGTCGGAACAAATGCATTTCAGCGGGAGAATTTGATTCGCTCATAGGCCCTCACTATGTTCCATTGCTTTGAAGGCAGGGAGGGGCTGGTTAATATTTAGTCATCGCTGTCGGTGTATTGACCATACCGATGCACTCAGTCTGCTGCACAGTAGATATCTCGGCCTCGCTGTGCGCTGCGTTGCACCGCTAGTCGAGTAGATAACCTTGCGTTCAATAAACCCTCGGAGCCAGGATGAACGTCCAACTCCAATCGTCATTTATTGATTGTAACAAGGTAAAACTGGTGAGAAAACACAGATACAGCATCTGTTATAATCCGGAAACACCAACACAATGAACACCACAGCATCAGAACATTGTCTTAGATAACAATAGATCCTGGATGGACCAAGCCCCTACATTACCACTGAACAACTAGACAAAGCACAAGCCGGTGCGTTGCATACAGGCACATCGTGTATTCATCCCACTGCACCCCAAATGTACAGCATTACGCATAACACTAAACTGTGGATGAGATACTTCGTCATCTTTACTCTCAGGATCGCAACATAGGCACAAGTCTGATCCGACCTACTAAATCACAAGTAACATCCACAATAAGGAAAGTCGCAGGCTTCGTTACTAACTAGGCCTCGTATTTACTACAACAACTTAACGGCACCATAAAGGCATTTACATCACTATAACGGTCATTCCAACATTACAACAGCATTGCCAATATTGTAAGAATATAAACAACTTACAGACAATGATTCTTAAGCTCCCACAATGGACAAGTGCGGCTGTGGTCTCACTGAGATGCGATGCGTGCCGCCATCTTGACTTATCTGTGTAATGGCCGACGCCCGCGTGGTACAGTGGAAATCTAAAATCGTAACTTCCTGGTCACGTGACCAAAATTAGCATAAAAAACCAGGAACTTCTTGTGAACGTATGCTCCACATCTGCCGTGAGGCAAGACAGTAGATGTTAAAGTTCCTCTGATATCATTGGTCCAAATTTGTCAAGTTTAAAATTACAGCAGAACTCCAAAAATCCGCAATACAAAATGTAATAAATCTCAGCAATTTGTGGGTTACCCAGGTCCAATCCTTTCATCACCCAAAATGACCAGTATGATTAAGTATGGTTAGCTACCTCGCCTGGTATACTCTGACGCATGTATATTTGGAATTTGCGTGTCTCTCCCTGTGGTGGAGTGGGTTTTTCTCTTGGTCCTCTGATTTTCCTTCCACATTTAGAAACATGCGTTTAGAGTATTTGGCTGCTATACATTTCCACATAAGCCACTTCATTGGGCTATGAAAAAAATCTATATAGGTCAGTGGGCTTTACCTGGTAAAATGTAATTTTAAAAGTAGTTAAATAGTTAATGACCAATTTTACGTGGGGAGGCCTTCAACCAGAAGTGGGTTGACAAAAGGCTGTACATTATGAATTATTATTCTAAGTTAAACGCAGCAGTATATACAATAATTAGCTATATTTGATGGCAGGGTGGCGCAGTGGTAATTCTTGTGCCTCTCTGGGGTTGTTGTCGGCTCTGGTGCATCTCTATGTGGAGTTTGTATGTTCCTCCCCTGTTCAACATGAGGTTAATCTAGGTTTCTGCAGTTACCTTCTTTAACCCAACAAAAACAACCATAGAATGTATCTGGTTTTGGCCAAACATCCCAATGCTGGAAAAAAACCCCTGCAAATTACTCACTTGGCATTACACATCAGCAGCAATATCGCCACCTCCTGCGAGAAACTTGGCAGGACCCTCCTGAGGTTTTCCTAGGTGAACAAGCGAAGAAGAAGCAAGAACAATGGCCAGTGAGATCAACCTTGCTCTCAGAATACACTGTAGATGTCTGTAACCACCGTTGAAGAGGCATTAACGCAACCGGCTTTCTGTTTGTTGCTAAAACTGTCAGGGAACCACATCGCATTTGTCACTTCATGGAACACACAGAGCCTGACAGGCGGTTGATGACATGTACGTGCGCATTTCCAGTTCCGCGCACTCCTCGCGCCTTCACGAATGGGGCCTCTTGGGTCAGAAGACTGAGCTCTAAGAATTTGTCAGCCAGTAAAGTAATCTTTCGTTAATATGTCGATATGATTGTGTTTTTGATGATATATTGCTATGTTTTCGAAAACTACAATTTAAGTAAAATGTAAAGGCCCCCCCTCTCCCCAGCTAGACGCCAGGCATGGTGCATCATTGAAGTCCCCCACCCGCGTGGCATTCTGCAACAGCGTAAGCACCCCATCCACGGCGTGACTCTATTTAGCCTCCCCTTGTAATGTGAGCCGTTTGTTTGGTTTTGGCAAGCCATCGTCATTCACAAAGTCAAATGTAGAGCATTGCATGTGCATTGGATGGCATTGCACAACAACGCCATTGCCTGTCCTTTCCCCAAAGGGGCTCTCAATATAACACAACTGTATATAGAGCAGTAGGAATAACTCAAAGAAACGGAGATACTCATTTTACTTTGTATAGCACTTCAATCATGTTTAATATCCATGGCCATTAGCTCCGAATACGAAAGTTTGATTTGCAGGGTTAGGATTATATGTAACACTGCGACGAAATATTGTTCATGGTGGAATGAATAGAGTACTATAATACCTTGCCATGGTTATATTAATACTTGGTGTTAGCAGGCGCCTCTGACCGAATCACATGGAATGATCCTGTATCTCGTCAGGGCTCAGAAGCAAAGCCGATTTGAGACTGGATAGTGCTTGGATGGGTGACCACTGTGGTTGCTATAGCGTCATGCGGGGCTACGTAGTGGCAAGTAGAAGGCAGCCCATCAAAATCCATTGTTGTTCTGTACTTATATGCTTCCACATCGATGCACCCCATCTTCACCAACCCTCACTGACCAGCGTGGTGAAATTTCGATTTAAAGCTTTCGTGACTGCAGGGATTCATCTTATTTGTTCTTTCGGTAAAGTCACGTAGAAGGTCGAGAGTGAACGTATGGTAGCATTAGAGGCGCGCTTTGCTTAACAAATGTGATTTTTACGGGAATTCACGATAACGAGCCATTTGAATTGAGCCCAATTTATTCGCAAAACGAGCAAATGTTCGCGTAACCAGCTGAGACCAATCGATCAAATGCATCCCGTGGCGGTAGTGGGCACACCACGTCCCGCAGCTGTTTGCTTGGCAGTTGTGCCATGGGTGCGGAGAGGAGTGGGTGTGGGGAGCGCGCAATAGGGCTGTGTGATTGAGTAGAGAAAGAGAGTGTGAAAGCGTTAATTTCAAATAGAATATGCAGCTGTAAGGAGGTGATATCATAGGCTATACTGGGGATCTTGCACTGTGGTTTTTCATGTGTAGTAAGTATTTCATTTGATGTTTAATTACTCTATTTTTAAATTATACCATAATTGGTACATTTGTAGGGGTTATTACGGGAGAAACGGCGGACAACAAACACAGGGCTGTCGGCACTCACATACACGGGTGGTCACACCGACGTCCGCATCAGTTATTGCCCACGCCCCCAGCCCTCGGAGGCGATCCCTATAAAAGGTGGAGACCCAAAGAGCTCGAGTTCAGTTCGACACGAAGCTGACCAGTGAAGATCCAAGACTCGGAGATTAGGCCCTGGGACTCCCCGGTCTCGCCGTCCTTATAAGGGCCGAGCCGGGTAAGCCAGTGGCGCGGCCCAAGAGCTTCCAGACCGCTGCCCTTATCAGGGCAAGGCTGGTTAGCTGGTGCCGAGATCTGTGCTTGCCAGGGCCAGATCAGTCAGCCTCCCGTAGCCCAGTAGAGGAGGACTGGGGGACAGGACAGATGGCTTAGGACTAGGGTGGGTTTCCCATAGTACGGGTGAAGGGGCCGATACCCCTTCAACTATTGTACCTGTCCCGGAGTTAATAAACAGAGTGTGCCTCAACTTCGACATCGTCTCCTCGAACTTACTACATCTGGTGTTGGAAGTGGTCCAAGCATGGATACGAGACGGAAGACTCGTGCCCAAGACCCAGGAGAGGATGACGACGAGGGAGGGGCAGTGCAAGACATCACCGCCGACGTACCTGCACAACTGCTGCCAGCTCCGACATCGGCGGGGTCGTCGGAGAGGGCCGGGACGTCGACTGACGAGTTGGCGTTGGCTCACTCGCGGCTGGCGGAGCTCTTGTATGCAGCGGCCGCTATGCTGGAACAAATAACTCGCCTGGGGCCGGGAGGAGCGATGCGGCGGGAAGATGGACAACGCCCGCCAGAAACTCCCGCCTTTACAACAGCGGGGCGACTCGAAATTCCCGCCACGAAGACAGTAGGGGCGGAGGGAGGAGTCCCAGCTCGTCACGCGGGGGACGGAGCCCAGCCAGCAGCCGCCACGTCATCGGCGGAGGCGGGTCGCAGTGGCGGCCTATCAGGGGTTGCAACGTCACCACCATCGGACGCCAGCACCGACCAAGCCCCGACCAACACGTCACTGCCGGCGCGACACCCATTAGAGTCCGCCATTACTCATACAGTACGGAGACGCGATACAGATGCTGCAAGAGGATCGGAGACGGAGCCGACATTCCAGCAATGCCTGCCGGCCCTGCAGGTATTTGTTGCAAGCGACGGCGATTGGGGGGGGTTCCAGCGCCGGTTTTTGGCCCACCAAGAGATGGCGGGCTGGTCGGACAACGAGGCGCTGTGTGCTCTCCCGGCGTTACTGGACGGCGACACCCTGGGCACCCTCACCGCTGCACCCAAGTCGGCACGCTCCACGATTCAGTCGGCGCTGCAGCTGCTGGCCACCGTTTATGGGCCGCCCTCCGATTGTCGCCAGCTCTTCTATGAACGGCAGAAGGGTGACAAGGAATTGCCACTCGCTTATCGCACGGCCCTGCTGTCATTGGCGAAAGACGCTTTCCCGCGTATGGATGAAGAAGGGATCGATGCGATGGTGGCCGAGAAAATTTTGCTGCTGGC